ATTCTATTCTATTCTATTCTATTCTTCTCCCAACCATTCTCTCCTTGAAGGATCTCCTCCATTCTTCCCTGCAGGTGTAGATCGAACTAACTTGGCCTTAAGGAAGCCGACCTACCAGTCCTCCATCTACCCTAATAGTTTTGGTGGACCACCAGACAGAGCCGTGGATGGGGACTGCCACGGGGTCTGGACCCACGCCTCCTGCACCCACACCCACCTGGAGAAAGACCCCTGGTGGAGGGTGGACCTGGGAGAGTCTTATAAAATCTACGCGGTGGTGGTGAAAAACCGCCAGGACTGCTGTAGCCATCGGCTCTTTGGAGCTGAGATCCACTTAGGCGACTCTCTGGAAAACAACGGAATATTCAATCATCTGTAAGTTGCTCTGCGCCAGCTGCCACCAAATGTTGGGGACTTCCAGGGGTTTGGGGCCTCCCACGTACAGAATTCACAGCCCAGTATGGGTGATCTTGGGGTGCTGCCCCAATTTCGGCCTGGGGACCAAGTTGCCGTGAGATCACCTCCCTTCTTGCTCCCCCAGAGGCAGCAAATGACCTGACCTGATAAAACACCTGTTAACTTGGCTGCATTGTGGTCTCCATTAATTTGGGGGGCTGTGTGAACTCTACCTGACTGGTGGATTTCTGCTAACATTTATCTAGAACCTGGGTTCCCTCAGAACTGGGTAAAGCACCTGATACGAGGCCACGTGGCTGGGGTAGAAAAGGGGGTTTCTCTGCTTGGACTTTTGTTCTGGTCTCTGCAGCTGCAAAAAAAAGGGGGGGCCCTTGAGATAGAAAAGAGGCTTAGAACAAAAGGCAAATATAGGTGGATCCAATCATTTCGTTGCCCTTAGAGGAATTGTCGTGTAAGGGAGCCAAAGAGAGAGATTTAGTTATGGGTGAATCCGGGGTGGGATGCAAATATTTTTGCTACCAGATCTGTGGGTGTGGCTAGGTGAGAGTGGCCCTGTGACTGGGTGGGCGTGGCTTCTTCTTCTTTGTGCAGTCCCCCCCCCCCGCGCTCCATTTTCTTTGCCTCCCTGGGCGAAGCATAAGAGGGGGGAGGGGGATCCTGGCACAGAGGATTGTCAGAACAGCTGACAGTTGGGAGGGGGGAAAAAAACCTGGCTCAGCTGAACTGACAGCTGTTTTTCTACTACCGGGTAGAATCCCACCACTGGGGTGAATAAATTGTGCAGGTTTCTCCTCTCTCCCATTAGATCTGGGATTTTATTTATATGTTTGTTTATTTGAACTGATTAGCTGCCCAACTCCAGGGGATGGATCTGGCCAAGACAGCCACCTGGGTCAGGGAGAAAACCGGGCTGGATCAATTCATGTGGTCCTTGATGAAGACTGTAGCCTCCTTCACAGCAGGACCAAAAAACAAGGGCCATAGCTGTAGAAGATGACCAGGCTGAGCCAGAGAGAGGAAAGGGTCAAACACATCATTGGTCTCGCATCCCTTCCATGCCCACAAGAGATCCAAGTCCAGCCCACCTTGAATTCTGCTGACTCTTATCTACGACTAGTTGAGACTTTCAAGAAGAGACTGGACTGCCATCTGTCAGAAATGATGTAGGGTCTCCCGCTTGGGTGGGGAGTTGGACTAGATGACCTACAAGGTCCCTTCCAACCCTGATTATCTGTTATCTGTTAGTAGCTCAGATTCTTGTAGAGAGGCTCAGTTTGCTATAAACCTATATAATCTTTTGAACTGCCCCGATCTCCTGGTTTCTTGTACTTGACAGTAGCATTCTTCAGAGCTGGATCCAGAAAAAATCAAGATGATGATGACCCTGAGAAAGCAACCAAAGTTTAAAAACCAACAACAACAACATTTCCTGCAGAATCACCCCGGGGGTTTATCCAACGAGGTTCATGTTTACAGTGAATGAAATAGTAGAGACAAAATGGAGGCAGAGCACCCGAGGGAGCAGAGGATCATGGGAGGATTGGTTTACTGCTCGGGCGGGGCTGGGCTTGAAGAGTCAATGGGGGGGGGTGCTTGGGGTGACCAGCAGGTGGGGGCCAGAAGGGCTGCTCTCCTAACATGACCTCTCTTGTCCCACAGCTGTGGGATAATCCAGGACGCCAGCCTGGGCTCCATCAGTACCATCTACTGTGACAATAATCGAGGCCGCTACATCAGTATCCACTTACCCAGGAAGGAGTACTTGACCGTCTGTGAAGTGGAGGTCTACGGCACCAAGTAGAGAAGCCACGCCTTGCATTGGGGGGGTGGCATTAACGCTCCTACGAAATGCCAATTGCTCCCCAAATAAACGAGCTCCTAAGATGCATTCCTAGGTTTCCCCTGTTCCTTCTTTGGTGAAAAGGGAGACCTTTGTGTCTGTCGGGGGAATCCAAGCCCCCTCCCCTTCCTCAAACCGTCTCTGCTCTCTGTCAGCATTCCAAGTAATGCACCCATAGAAACTCCAAGGCAGGCAAATTCCTCAAAAAACAATGTATTGGTTACCTCATTTTGGCACAAACTGGTGAAAGCCGACTATGAAAGTTCCTGCGCCTTTCACCTAATTAAAAAGTAAAAGTTTCCCCTTTCCTTCAAGTCATTGGTCACATTGTCCAATCCAGTTGCTGGCTGGTTGCTTGGTTACTTCGCTCCTCCTCTGGCCAGCCACTTGTGAGAATGTCCTTGGTTCCCACAGGAAAGCTTTATTGTTTTGGCTACAAAACCCCATCTAACTATTTCCCCCAAGATGGCCTCAGCCAGGCTCACTTCTGGGTCGACACTCTCCATTCTTCCCCTATGCCCATATGCCCCTATGCCCCCTTGGCTCCTCCTGTCATCTGATTTGTTGGTCCCAGGGAGGCCTGTGTTACCCTTTTGTCTTTAGTCAGGCTCCTCGGAGACATGCAGATGGGTAGGATCTGTTGGGGACTGGCAGTGGCTAGCAGAGCTGGCAGCAGAGTCAGGCAGTGAGGAGGTTGGGGAGGAACCTGGGCCAGTCCTGGAGTCTGGGGAAGGCTCAGATGAGGGCTCTGCTTTGGGCCAGGGCAGGCTGGCAGTCATCAGCTGCCTTTGGAGTTGGACAGCAGTGAGGCGGAGCCGGTTCCCAGCCTGCAAGGCGCAGAGCTGCCAAAAGAAAAGAAGAATTACGAACTAAGGGTCGATCTGGGAGTAAGGCCACAGGTGGACGGTGAATGGCCCCTCCCATAGGGATTAAAAGAGAGAGCGAAAGGGGAGGGGGCTTTTGCAGGAAACAATTCGTCCGTTGCAGCCGTGTGAAGATCTGTCTGTGCATCTCAAGAGACGCTTTGCTGAGTCCTTCCTTGTTAGCACTGCAGTTTGGAAATAGTTACTTGGCAGCTCTCCAGGCTAGATAAGGTCTGTGCTTCTAATCGCACCCTGGAAAGACTGTTGGCCAGGCCTTTGGCGGAAGGTGAATGCAAGAAATTCGCCTTCGTTTAAGAAAAGGGGTTTTCCGGGACAAAGCGTCGGCTTAGTGCTTTTGGGGGACGCCGAGGTCAGAGCAGGATCTGTTGAGGTTCCAACCTTGATTCAGAATTGAATTTAGGGACATTTGCCTTTAAGAAGATTATTAATTGTAGGTGTGTATGTGTGAACTCCCACGCTTCCATGCTGAACAAGACAATGTTGTCCATAATACAGCTCTTTTAGTGAACGTTCAAAGTTACAACGGCACTGAAATAGTGACTGATGACCCTTACAACCTTTCCAGCATCCCTATGATTGTGGGATGAAAATTCAGACGGTTCCTATTTATGACCGTTGATCCTGTGATCCCCTTTTGTGACCTCCCAATGAACAAAGTCAAGAGGGAAGCCAGATTCACTTAACAATCGGGTTACTAACGTATCCACTGCAGTGAGTCACTTATCCCCTGAGGCAAGAAAGAGGCAAAATTCACTTAACAACTGTCTCACTTAGCAATGGAAAGGGTGAGGCTCAATGGCTGTCGTAAGTCAAGGACTACCTGTATGCCATTCTGACGGAGCTTCAGCGCATCGGAGAGAACTCAGAAGTCTAAACTTCTGGTCCTGGGGACGGATCCAGATTGGATCCTGCAGAATTGTGAGGCTCCGGATTTTTTTTATAGCCAGCCAATTGTTGTGCCCTGCGCCCTCATCAATGCTAGCAGCTGCACTCGCAGGATTATAGAATAATTGGCAGGGACCTTGGAGGTCTCCCAGTCCAACCCTCTCCTCAAACAGGAGAAACTAGACCATTCTAGAATGGTATAACTATCCAATAATGGTTATCAACCTCTTCTTGAAAGCCCCCATGATGGAGCCCTACAACTTGTGTCCCACCGGTTAGTTGTCCTCATGTGGGGAAAGTTCTCCTGAATTCCAGGTTGCTTCTCTCCTTCCTTAATGCTCATCTGTTTGCTCCTTGTCCTGCCTCCAGGGCCTTTGGAGAAAAGCAAGAGCCCTTAGACTTATACACCACTTTCTCAGTGCTTTTACATCCCTCTCTAAGCAGTTTACAGAGTCGGCCTTTTCCCCCCAACAATCTGGCTCCTCATTTTACTGACTTTGGAAGGAGGGAAGGCTGAGTCAACCTTGAGCTGGTCAGGATCAAACTCCTGGCAGTGGGCAGAATCAGCCTGCAATACTGCACTCTAACCACTATGCCACCACGGTCCTTCCCCCTTCCTTCCTTCCTTCCTTCCTTCCTTCCTTCCTTCCTTCCTTCCT